GTCTCACACCTCATCCCAATGCCTCTTGTTCTGCAAAGCCTTCCCTAGTTCCCACAACACGTAACAGGGAACTGGCCAGCCTGGGACAACAAGGGCCAGCTCTGGCACGAAGCAACTTTACACCCAGTGACCTTCTCCCCTGGCCATTATCACAGAGGCCTGCAGCTGCCTGTTTTTCAAAGTCTCCTACTTGTGGCTACTTTCTCTGTCTCTATTGGAAAACATATGTGCTATGCCAAGCAGTTTTCAGGTGCCTTTCCTTTTCTCTGAGCCGCACTGTCTGTGGTGGTGAGTCAGAATACTGCCCTGTCGTCTCAATGATTGGTTTTTAAGGGTTTGTAACGTTCACTCTGAACTGAATATTGTATGAATGCCTCTGTTGCTTTTGAGCTGGGGATTGTGTTTGAAATAAATTTAAATCTGTTATGGATATAATATATAGGACCCTAACTTCTATCCTTTTTGTGATATTTTGTGTTGCTGTGTTCCGCCACTAGACGGCAGCACCCTCTATCAATTCTTGTCTTTGTCCACAAGGTGGATGAGTAGGCTATCGGTTAGGGAACAGGATGGGGACTTTGCAGAGTAAATTTTAGATACTACCACAAACAGTGGAACTCTGCGACCACTGCCATAGTTGACAAAACCCTGGGTTCTGGTCTGGGCCGTGACTACTTGCTTGGTGACCTTGAGCAAGCCACTTCTCCCGCTACACCCCCTGTACAACGTGAGGGAGTTGAACCAGACTAAAGTCAAGGTCATCTCTGATTCTGATTCCTTTGGCATCTCAATCCGTTTGAAAGCCAACCAGTAGAAAGGTCTTTCGATGGCATCAAGTGGAGTTCTATTTTGCTTCTTTTCAACCGAGCTCATGTTTCTGGATTTGCATGTTCAGTCACCTCTGTGTAATTCTCTCTTTCTTTTCTTGGGTAGCTTATTGTATTTTGTCGTAAATTCGTTCCTGTGTAGGGTATGCTTGTCACTTCAAAGGAAATTGGTTTAGAGTTTGTGTTTGGTTTACTAGTACACCCAAGGCAAAGAGAAATTCATGTTAGCCCCTTTTATTCTCAGTGTTAGGAAGCTAAGCCACACTACATTTGAATATTACAGCCCTCCCCATTTGAAAAGGTGATTTCTTCTGAATCTGTGGTTAATGCTAATGGCTCATCACAGAGGAAAAAATCACACTTTGCCTTCAAGTAAAAACTTTTATCCATTTTCAGGAATGAAAATAAAGTCAAGCTTCAGGGAAGATAAGTTCTTAAAATCTGACGGTTTCCAGATAATGTCAGAAGATGATTGTAAGAAAAATGACATGAAATGTACATTTACATAAATCTATAACTGCTCAAAAATATCACCATAAAATCCTGCCATTACCGAACCACCCAGTATGTTTTTTTTGTGAGAATGAATAAATTATCTGAGAATGTGTTTGCATCAAAAACACAGAAGTTTGTAATAAACACATAAATCATCAAAGCATTTTCTAGCAAGAGGCCTGATCTTAAAACCGGGGGCATTCATATCAATTCTGCCCCTTCCAGCTTCCTCCTCCGTGTAGTACCTTCAGGCTCTGAGTGGTAATGTAGAACCATCAATTATGGATGTGTGGGAGGATGTAAAGGAAATAATTCCTCCTGAAGTCTTCCACACCCACTCCCCCACTCCCCACAAGCCTCATCTTCTGTACTCCTGGCTTTCACTGAGGTACTCTCAGTAGTTCTGGCCTCCGTTTAGACTGGGGTCTATTTTTAAAAAAACAATCCTATTTTTGAAGCCATGGTACCCACATTCCAGCCAACATCCCCTATAAAACTAACAGCACTAACTTATCTCTGAAAGGTATGTCCTTGTTGCTCTCCCTGAAGACTTGGTTTGCTTTCTGTGTTATGGGCAATTCATATCCATACAGCAACATGATTCCCTTTTTGCTTAGGCTACCGGGAAGCTCAGAGGCCAATTAATATCTTAACCTTAATAGAATGTAGTAATGTGTGCCTGAGGATCCCGAATTTTATCTTTGTCATATGGGCTACCTAGATTTTTCTACGATTTTTATTTTCATTTTCTTCTATTTTATTAAGCACATTTTTGTTAATGACTCCAATCTCTTTATGAGAAGAGGCAAAGTGTAGATAAAGAAATGAAAGGATAATTGTGATATTGTGATTTATAACAAGAAATATATATTTGGTCTTCGTCCCTGTGTCTGGCCCAGAGCTCCCAAATCCCTTGGAATTTCCTAAGCCCTGAGAACTATAAAGGCGTCTTTTGTTATGTTAATGAGGCAAGTTTTAGGCCACACCTAAGGGTGGGGGTGGGAGCTGTTGCCTGTGGAGCCATTCCTGGACTCAATGGGCTGGAACTTTCAGTCTAACTGGAAGTTGGGAAGGGGAGGGGGCTGGAGATGGGGTACAGTCACCAGTGGCCACTAAGCTAATTACTCTTATGCATGTAATGAAGCTTCTGGTTGGTGAACACCTGGAGATTCAGGGAGCATGGAATCTCCTCACCCTCCCCTCATGCCTTGCCCTGGGCATCTTTTCCATCTGGCTGTTCCTGAGTTATAACCTTTCATACTAAACCAATAATCTAGTGCGTAAAATATTTCTTTGGGTCCTGTGAGGCACTCTAGTCAATTAATCAAACCCCAGGAGGGGATAGTGGAAATCTCCAATCTATGGCCAGTCTGTCGGTCAGAAGCAGGTGACAATTGGGACTGAGACTGGCATCTGCAGTGGAGGGGGCTATGCAGGATGGTGGTCTTGTGGGACTGAGCCCTCCACCTGTGGAACCTCAGGTTACGTAAGTGGGGGTAGATAGAGACAGAATTGAATTGACAATTCTGGTGTCTGAGAAGTAGTTCAGTGGTGTGGGGTAAAAAAGCCCCCAACCACACATTGAAGTTGGGATCAGAACTATTTTAATAGTTAAACATAGATATTGACAGGTAAAATTATGCCCAAAGAAGCTACTGTAATTAAAGAAGTAAAGGTGGATATCTATAGCAAACTGTAAAAAAGAAAAAGAAAGAAGAAAGAGAGAGAGAGAGAGAGAGAGAGAGAGAGAGAGAGAGAGATTGAGAAGTCCTGCTCTTGTCTGGTTTCTCCCCAGGACTCATTTCTCAATGAGCATCTATGAAGGTCCAATTGTATATCAAATGCTCATGGCCTGTTCTGGGATCTCTGCATCTGGTCTTCCTCTGTGTCAAGAAGCATGACAATACTGCCGGCTGGCGTGGCTCAGTGGTTGAGCGTCAACCTATGAACCAGGAGGTCACGGTTCAATTCCCAGTCAGGGCACATGCCTGGGTTGCAGGCTCGATCCTCAGTGTGGGGTGTGCAGGAGGCAGCCAATCAATGATGCTCTCATCATTGATGTTTCTGTCTCTCTCTCCCTCTCCCTTCCTCTCTGAGATCAATACAAATATATATTAAAAAAGAAGCATGGCAATACTTTTTATACTGATGCACCTGGTGTTTCGAAGGAGCAAAATGCATCAGTTAATGGAGAAGAGCTGTCACGAGTGCTGAGTACATTGAAGCTGTTGCCACTTTTAAGGACTGAGGAGGATTGATATGAAAGCCCCCACTTTCGGGGGATTAGGAATGGGGTAGGAGGAAGAAGGGGATCTGGGAGGCTATGCAGGATGGAGACAGAGATGTACCAGGAGTAACTATTGTTTCCACCATTGCAGCATTCTTCTTGCCTCCACTAATGCGACAGAATTAAATAGTCATACAAACGCTGTTCCCTTTATGTTTTAATGACTCAGCTGGGTTAGGTGACTCACTTAAGGACACACCGCCAGGGAGTGGCAGCGCTTGGGTTTTGGCTACTCTCATTGTTCCTTCCACCATGTTTCCTGGTGCTGAGGTCATCTCTTTGCTCTTCCAGGTCCACCCTCCACCTTCTCCACCCCACTCTCTGCCCTGGGACCAACTAGAATGGGCCACTTATGGGCTGTCCTGTGCTCTGCTTTTTGGTGGGCTCAGCCTTGGGGAAGCCCCAGGAGACAAGAGGGAGGCCAGGCATGTGTTTCCTTTGCTTCCACCTTGTGCGGTCCACTGGGCTGGTAGTGTCCCTCAACCAGTGGTCACTGTTCCTCTGAAGGCACGGTGCCCCTTCTGGTCTCCAGCCACTGTCCCCTCATTGCTCTGGGCCCAGGGGGTGGTGACAGTGGCCACTGCTTTAGCCCCAGTTCCGGCACCATCCCTCGTCCTTCCCCTATACCCACACCCCTCAGCAAACTGCTCTGTAGTAAATAAACTACCTTAAATTACCCTAACTTGGGTGTGCTGTTTCCTGTTAGGACCCTAACCTTCCCATTAAAGAAAGTGTGGGTTAGTAATATGTTGTAGAACATAGCAGTAGACACATAAAAGGTGAGTTTGATATGTTTCAGTTATTGGGAAATAAATCATGGGATTGTCATCTTTTCCGATTGGGCATTGTGAGAGAGGATGGGGACACAGGGGAAAATAATGAGAAATTATGGTGGATACGATCCTATTACATTTGTCCTCTATTTGTGCTTCGAGCACCACTGACATTGATTAGTTCCCTTCTGCCTCTTACTTGTATCTTCACCCCCACTTACGTAAATTGAGCTGCTTTGCTTAAAGCTTTAATATCTGTTTTCATATTAATTAATCAACATTTTAAAATTCGATTTCTAGCTTGTGATTTTATGGGGGGGTATGCTTAGAAAAACAACTTAGAGGTTAAATGCAATCCTTACGTTTTAAAACAATTTCTTTCTGAAATTGCACAACACAGAATATGAGTTTTCACAATCGATTACTTCATCAATAAAAGAAGGTGATAAAAAGGCATACGATGTATGAGAATCTTTGAAAAAGTAGGTATTTCATGAAGAATGAAAGTTCAATAGATCTCCCTGATTTAAGAAAACCCGTGACCACAGACAAAAATGCAAGAAGATTTTGGAAGCAAAGAACTATACTTCTCTGTCAAACATTGTGACTTGACTTTACCTTTAGCATGTTGGCTTCTGATGTCCTTGGTAGTGGCTTTGTCCACCTGTAGAAGACAATGGGGCACCATTATCTCTTACACTGTGACTATGATACCATATGTCCTACTAATCATGTCTATGATAACATATAATGTCCTATTACTCTGTCTGGTTAGAGTCCAAAGGATAAAGGCATAGGTCTCTGGACTCATTGTTCTTAGAGATCACCACATGTGTATGGTTGGCAGGCAGTCAACACATGTCAGTATTTGTCCCCCGTGCCAGTGAAGAGTGGCCTTGGGTGGTATTTGTCATAAAAATACTTGGGTTTGAGATCCAAGCCTGTCTCTGATTGCTGTGAACCTTTGGAAAGGCATTCAGCATGTTATGAGCCTTAGATTTTTCATTTTTATAATAGGGACAATGCTTAGTCAATTCACGTCATTGAGCTGTTATGAAGACCAACATGCAGGATCAAGGACACTGGAAGCAATTGAGCAGGGAGATCACCATGTGGCCTCTCTTGGCTGCCTGGGTTGGGCTTTCACCTCCATCATGTGCTAGCTATGAGACATGGCAAGTCACTGAACCTTCTGTGCCTCAGTTTCCTCATCTGTGAAATGGAGGCAACGAAAGTACTGATATCTCCAGAGAGAGAGAGGATTACATGTGACACATCACGCAAAGTGCCTAGAGAAGGGAGTGGGTTGGCACCATGAAAGCATAATAATTGTTAGTTGTCATTATTAATATTATGAAAGACATTAATGAACTACTAAGGGCTGTACAATTGCTAGACCTGAGAGTGAAGAAGATGATGAATGTATCATAATAATGCCCAGTGCCTTTGAAAGCCTTTAAGTCTGGTCAATATTGGTGTCTATGATGGTTAGTTTTATGCTGACTTGCAGGGCCCCAGATATTTGATTAGCTATTACTTCTGGGTGTGTCTGTGAGGCTGTTGGCAGAGGAGATGAGCTTTTGAATAAAATCAGTGGACTGAATAAGGTAGAGGGCCCTTCCCGGTGTAGGTGGGCCTCAGCCAATCTAGGGGCTGCATGGAATTAAGAGGCAGAGGAAAGGATAATTTGATCTCTGCCTGACTGTTTGAGCTGGGACACTGGTTTCCTCCTGCCCTCAACTGGGATTGACACCATGGACTGTCTCGGTTCTCAGGCCTTTGGACTCAGACGGCAACTTCCACCACTGGCTGTCCTGGGTCTCAGCTTGCAGATGGCAGAGCTTGGAGTTAGCCTCCATAGCCGCTATTTTATTTAGATGTATATGTGTATATGTCTCTCTCTCTGTCTCTCTCCTATGTTTCTAGACAACCCTGACTAACACAGGGTCTTAGTGTTCCTCTTTATTGGCATCAAGTTGGGGTGGCCAAGGTGGATGGGTAGGAGGGGTCATTGGTCCCCTGTTACCTCTTATCTTGGATGTTCAGCGTCCACCTCTGCCCTCTGTGGAATATTGAACTGCCATATTTATGCTTGAAAAGGGCGTGGCTCTTCAGCTGGTCTGCCTAGTGGGGAGTTGAGCATGGTTTGGGTTTTGTTGTTGCTATGGCTTCTTTCATTGTACCATCAGCTTCTAATTCCTCCAAGGTTACCCTGTGGAGCCTGGGGTGCTGGAGGCTTATTTCAATGTTCTCCTTGCACCCTTAGCTTGCAGCCTTCCCTGTGTTCTGTATGTATTAGCCTAACAGTCATGAGATCTTGAACTGAGCTATAAAGCTTCAGAGAGGGTAACTGGCCCAAACCGACAGAACTCATAAAAGTCGGAGCTGTTAACATAGGGATTATAATGCTCATCTTGAAAAGTTATTTTGAGGATTAAATGTCATTATTCACTTCAACCTCTACTCAGAAAGACCTTCCATAACTCTCCATACTTATCTTTAATTATTTTTATTTCTTAAAATATATTTTTATTGCTTTCAGAGAGGAATGGAGAGGGAGAGAAAGATAGAAACATTAATGATGAGTCACTGATCAGCTGCCTCCTGCACACCCCACACTGGGGACTGAGCCTGCAACACAGGCATATGCCCTGACAGGGAATTAAATACTGACCTCCTGGTTCATAGGTCGATGCTCAACCACTGAGCAACACCAGCTGGGCTTTAATTATTTTTTTTTAAAGCACTTATCACTTGCCATATTGTTTGACGGTCTAATGCTTATTCATTTATAAATGGTCCCCTCCACTAGCATGTAAGTTTCATGAGCACAGGTACTCGCATACCAGAGCCTATAATTGTGTCTGGTATGTGGCAGGCACTCAACACATATTTCTTGAGTGAATTTGTTGAGTGAATGATTAAAGTGTTGAGCATGGTGCCTGTGTGAAGAGGAAGTGTTCAGTATTTCACCCCTCATCTTGCTCTCCCAGTCTGCCCTGGGTGTGTTCTATGTAAATGACGTTGGTAAAATTTGTGATTTCCTTTTCTTGTCAATATTAACAGGAGCCCTCAAATGAAATAGATGAACAATGTGAAAAAATAATGCACAAGGAAGAATGTGCTATATTCAAAAGCATGTTCACATTCATCAATAAATGTGACACAATTGAAAAAAAAAAGAACAGTGAAATTACTTAAAGAAAATTTAAAGTAATAGCCGGTCTTGGTTCTATGAGGTGGCTGTTCCCATATAGAGCTGCTGGGTGGGTAAATTAAATATGTTTTGAGATAAGAAATTTCACAATAGGTACCAAAAGCTTTTAAAATGTTTTCCCTCCATCGTTAAGGAAAATAATTAACAATTCCATAATGGGGTATTATCTATAAGGATTATGCTAATTAATGTTCATCACATGGACAAACCTATATAATAAAAGCCTAATATGCTAAGTGTCCAACTGACCTACTGTTCTGCCAGTTGCTATGACACACACTGACCACCAGGGGGCAGATGCTCTGACTGGTAGGTTAGATGGTTCCGGGGTCTGGCTGATTGGGACTGGGCTAGATGGGCTGGACACACCCTGGAGCCCTCCAACGGCCCCTCCCTGGCCAGCTAGCCCTGATTGGCCCTGATCGAGACTGGTTAAGACAGAATGGGCCAGACATGCCCTGGAGCCCTCCCGAGGTCCTTCCCCAGGCCTGATCGTGCACCAGGGGAGTCCCTTGGCCTGGTCTGTGTCCTTTCATAATCCGGGACCCCCCGGGGGAATGTCGGAGAGCTGGTTTCGGCTCGGTCCCCGCAGGCCAGAATACAAGGTGAAAAGAAGGAAATCCGGTGTATACAACAAGAACTCCCTTGCATAAAATGTTTGCATAGAAAATATTGATAGGAAATACACTCAGACATTAGGACTGAGAGCCCTGCAGCCCCAGGGGTGATTAATTTGTATTTTATGATTTAAGAAAATGAAACATTAGCAAAAGTGTTATTAAAAATAATGTTCTAAATATGTGTTTAGAGCATTTGCATTTACAAAATATTTTCATAAGATTAACTTTATAGTTTCTAAACAGCCTTTGAAGTAAGCATGGCAGGGATTTTTATTTCTGTTTTGGGCCAAGAATCTGGGCCAAATGGCATGTTATTACCCAAATGATCCTAGTTCAAATTCTGCTCCTGGAGAAAGGGGTGAACTTTGGAGAATGCATGTGGAAGCCTGATGCCTGGCTCACAGAACATCCTCAGCAAATGTCGTCTCTCCTCCCTCCCACGGGACCGCGGTCCCGCCAGTCATAGGAGCCTGACTGGCTTATTCCTCACAAGATGCCTTGGGAATGAGGGATGAGCTCCTAGCTGCTAGGAAGTGCCCCACACGGGTTTGGTTCACGTGGTCACACAGTTGACCTATACTCACTTCTTCCAGCCTCATCTGTGTGGTCCAAGCTTGCCTCTCGACAGGGATAGGAATCTTGGCACCTAAGGAAAGGGGAGTGTCCATCATCCCCTTGAAATAGCGTGTATCTGTGAAAAGAGTAAAAATTACTCATCCGTGCCATGCACTCGGCACAATTTATAAAACTTTTGCACATCTGCAAACTCATGGAGTCACCAGAACAAAAGTGTGAGGCCAGCAATTGCACTCGCACTTCACAGACGAAGCAGACGGAGGCAGGAAGAGGAGAGGTTCCGCTGCTTGGTCCATACACAGAAACGCCGGAGTCTGGGCTAGACTACCCTCATTCTCACCCCCTGGGAATTCTTCTCATCCTTTCAGGCCTGGGCTGTGTCACACCCTTTGAAGATCTTTCTAGATCCCACGCTCTCCTTCTATTTTATACACTTAACATATTCTATCAGGTTTATCTGTTGATCTTTCTGTTTCTGCCACTAGAATGTGATCTTCCTGAGGACATGGATTATGCTTTGTTTATCTTTTTTTTAAAAAATGTATTTTATTGATTTTCTTACAGAGAGGAAGGGAGAGGGATAGAGAGTTAGAAACATTGATGAGAGAGAAACATCGATCAGCTGCCTCCTGCACACCCCCCACCAGGGATATGCCTGCCAATCAAGGTACATGCCCTTGACTGGAATCGAACCTGGGACCCTTCAGTCCCTAGGCCAACGCTCTATCCACTGAGCCAAACTGGTCAGGGTGCTTTGTTTATCTTTGTGCCCCTTGGTCAGTCCCAACATGGTAACTGGCACACAGTAGGTACTCAGTAAATACCTGTTGAGAGAGTGAACCAAGGAATAGCATCCTTATTTACAAGGTGACTCTCTTCAAAAGAACTTCCCATAGAATCCTTTCAGTGGGTCGGACCCTCGGACATCCCAACCCATCCTCGTTCCCTCCCAGAAGTGTGCCACATTGAAGGTTCGGCGAACTCACTGGAGCTGCCCGGTGTGCCCGGTTAGAGAGAGGCAACGTGGGTGTGAGGTTAGGTCTTCCTCACTCCGAGGAAGGTGGGCTTCTCTGCCATGCTCAGGTGCTGCTCCTCTGCGGGCTACCTGCCAAATGGGTCCGCCCAGTGAAAATTCTTCCTGTCACTCTCTGCCCTTCTATGCAGGCATCTCTGGCTGCCTGCCCCTTGCCATGCTCCCAGTGGCTCCAGGGCTCCTGGCTATGATGATAAAAGCCAGTAGTTACAGCCCAGCCAGCAGGGCTCAATGGTTGAACATTAATCTATGAATCAGGTGGTCACTGGTTTGATTCTCAGTCAGGGCATGTGCCTAGTTTGCAGGCTTGATCCCCAGTGGGTGGCGTGCAGAAGGCAGCCAATCGATGATTCTCTCTTATCATTGATGATTCTATTACTCTCTCTCCCTCTCCCTTCCTCTCTGAAATATATATTTTAATATATATATATATTAAAACAACAACAGCAACAACAACAAAAACCACCAGTAGTTACAGAGCCCTGGTTCTGCCAAGTCCTCTCGTGGGAACTCCACATACATCCTACGTGGCATCTTCTGCAGAACTCTCTGGAACAAGTTCCATGATGATGGCCCCACTTTCAAACAGGGAAGAAGACTTTGAGAGACTTGCTCAAGGTCCCACCTCTAGGAGGCCACGCAGGCAGGATTTGAACCCGCGGTTACTCAGTGCAGAGCCCACGGCTTTAACTTCTGTGGGATATCGCAGCACGTGCATTTTCAGATTTCAGACCTGACTGTTACCTGCATATTCAGATTCCTTGATAGGCCGGGCGGGTAAAATTTTCATCCACTGCCAACCCTCTTCCACGTGAACATTGGGGTCTTCATAGTCGTCATCCTCGGGGCCCTCTGCTCCATCGTGGACTGCGGGGAAGTTCCTTTCCTGAGCAGGAGGAGACATTCGAGTGAGTTAAGGGAAGGCACAATGTTGATAAAGATGACAGGCTGCAGGGCTGGGGAGGGGTGAGGGATAGGTTCTCTGAGGTGGGGGCTGAGAGTCTGGGCTCTGGGGCAGGGGAATTCTAGTGCAGGCAGCATTCTGATGATGTCCCCCAATACTCCCATGCGTGTTATTCAATCAAATAAATATCCTCACGGCAGCACTGCAGATGTGATTAAGATGACACATGGGCTCTAGCGGGCTTGGCTCAGTGGATAGAGCGTCGGGCTGTGGAGCGAAGGGTCCCAGGTTCGATTCTGGTCAAGGGCACATACCTCCGTTGGGTTGCAGGCTCCTCCCTGGCCCGAGCCCAGGTCAGAGCACATGCAGGAGGCAACTAATTGATGTGTTTCTCTCACATTGATGTTTCTCTCTGTCTTTCCCTTTCTGTCCCACTCTCTCTAAAAAATCAATGGAAAAATATCCTCAAATGAGGATCCAAAAAAAAAAAAAAAAAGATGAGTAATGGGCTGTCTTTGAAATAGAGAAATCGTCTTGGGTTACCTAAGCCCCTAAATGCAGAAAGGAGATCTATTTTCAGAGGCCATGATCTTATATGCAGGCAAGCCCAAGGAACCCACTAAAAATTATTAGAATATACAATTTAGTAAGGGGGCAAGTTACAGAACTGTTGCACAAATTTCAGTTGCATTTCTAGACACTGGTAATGAGCTCCCAGTCGGAACCCCAGGAATGGCAGGAATGGGTACCAGTCCCCAATCCTGGAGGCACCATCATAGGAATCCTGGGATGTGCACCGTGTGTCGGGACCTGGAGGAAAACTCCTCTCCGCGACCTTCTGTGCAACACACAGTGCCGCCAAGTGATCCCTTCTCCTTTCTGGGCCTTGGAATGCTCCACTTGGTCTCATTGATAGAAATGACTTTTGTCTTTACTTGGGCCCGAGAGAGAATCCAAGGGCCACACTGGTCAGTCGTGCTGCAGCTTGGAGAGGTCTGAGGAGTGTCGTGTGATGCCAGGAGCTCAGGAGGACAAGATGGGGTCATCTCCAGATGAAACGGGAAGGTGGCCTGCGAGCCCGAGTCACTCTGTCTACTGTCTCCTTTGAGCACCTGACTGGGGATTTGGGTGGCTTCAGGTCACACTGTTGGGCTGGGAGGGGGCTGGCAGCTGGGAGAGGCTGTGACACACACTAGAAAAATCTTTGCCGTCTTAAAGTTTCTCCTAAGATGCCAAATGGCCATGGCCAGGAGTAACAGGCCCAGTCACCGGAGATTTTTATGCATATTCCCTGATTTGGCCTTCGAAATTAAGAACGTTTGCCCGGCTGGGATGGCTCACTGGTTGAGCATCGAGCCATGCATGAACCAGGAGGTCAGGGTTCCTCCCTGCCTCAGACACGCCATCTGTACATTGGAGACGTCTAAGCCTGCCCTATTTGGTTATATCCAGCTGAGCACAGGGCATGGAAAGGTTCCACTTTGGCACCTGCCCACGACACGCTAGGTTTCTTCCCTCCCGTGGATGTGCTGAGTGTAAGTATAGCAGAGCGCCAGGGGGAAGCAGGCTTGCCAGAGGTTTCACAGGCGACCTGGTGAAGGGGAAAGGTGAGCCAGCTGTTCTCAGGAACTGCACACGGAAGTGAGGTCTGGGCTGGAGCACAGGCATGCGGCTCCTCTGGGGACTTGACAGATGAGCATTTACGCAAGGGCGCCATTTACACTACATACTGTGTGGCCAACACCAAGACACCCACAGAGAGCAGCTGCTCGGGGCGAGTCCTGGACCTGCTGGGAGAGCTGGGGAGGTGAGAGCGGAGTCCATCTCTGACCAGTTGCCTTGCTGGATCATGGGGGCAGGGCATGTGGGGACATGGGGTGGATGGGTGAGTGGGGTAGTAGCCACCACCCCCTCCCCCTGTCTGGGGAGAATCTGCACTTAGACCCTGAGAGTCTTGCCCACAGAACTGGATAGAAATAGTCTGGTTTATATCTTTCTGGGAAGGGAGACAGAGTTTTGTTTTAATTATAAGAAGTTATATCTATTTTACCTATTAACCTATTTATTATCTACTGTCCCATCTCAGAGGTAAATCCTTTGTGACTGGCTGGTTGTGTGTATGTCCTGGAGTGAAGTTCCATAACTTTAATTGGATTAAAAAAGTTTTTAAACAGGAAAGTACCAATGATTTTATAGGCAGATTCTATCTATCTATCTATCTATCTATCTATCCATCCAATCTATTCCATCTGTCATAATACAGATATGGTGGTTGGAACTATTTAAATCATATACATATACAATTTAACAATAGAATTACTTATAAATATTAGCTATCTGAGTTATGTTATAAATTTTCTCTAGTCATTAGAATTCTTTTCAAATATTATTAATGGCTTCATACTGGGAATATAATATATTTCACTATGCTTATATTACTGAATACTTAGCATGATTCTAGGGTGCTGCCATTTAAGATATATCATTATAAAACATAAAGGAGTGTGTTTAAATATTAATCCAAATTTTGGCTTCGTTTCTTAGTTTAAATTCCCAACCATAGGATTATTGGGCCAAAGGAAATGAACACTTTTCTGTTGCCTGGTTACTATTATGAAATTGCTTTCCAGAATGTTCGTTCCACTTGAACATTTCGCCACGAGTGGGAGGAAGTGCCTTCCTCATCACACACTTGCCAGCACTGCGTGTTGGTATTTCCAACTCATCCAATCTTCGCAGTGGCCATGTAAATTACTTTTCACCTCACTTTCATAGCTGAGAAATTGGCATACAGTTTTATACCCAACAATGGAAATACAATTTTCCCTGCCAATAAATTACACATTTAAAATGTTTTTCTCTTTGTTTTTAATCTACCATGCACCTTGAAAAAAACCAGTTATTTTGTAAATATCAAAGACAGAGAAAGAGGAGAGGGGAGTGGCTGACTTACGCAGTCCAAGGAAGGCTCGGGGATGGGCTGGAGCCGGCCTGCCAACAAAAACAGACCCAAGGTTAATGCGCCTGGGTTTTCTCCAGAAATCCTGTGCTTATTTCAATTAATTTTTCTGGATGGTAATTGCTCCCAATGAAGTGCATGTTTCTGTCCTTCTCACTCTTTTTGCTGCTCTTGCAAAACAGGGGCGATGGAAAGGAAGGGAAGGACTCAAATCCGAACCAAGAAGCCTCAGTTTCCATGGCAGGTTAATAAACTCGGGGAAAGAGGCAGACACCCTCTCCCACCCCTATCAAGTGCCCCCCAAACCATGACTCAGCTCACGGGGAGGCTGGTTTCCTCTTCCCTCCCCACTGAGGGCACACGTTACTTTTGCACTTATCTGTCCATAACTCTGTCTCCTTAAACAGACTGTACCCCAGTATTCTGAGGGTGGGTCATATGTATTCATTCATCTATCTCCAGTTCCAGGCATAAGGCTCAATATGACCAGGTGACTTAAAAAAAATGATTTCAGAGAGAGGAAGAGAGAGGGAGAGAGGGATAGAAACATCAATGATGAGAGAGAATCATTGATTGGCTGCCTCCTGCATGTCCCTTACTGAGGACTGGGCCCGAACTCCGGGCACATGCCCTGACCAGGAATTGAACCGTGACCTCCTGGTTCATGGGGCGCTGCTCAACCACTGAGCCACACTGGCCAGGGGACCAGGTGAGTTCTGGATAGGCGTTTGTTGAATGAATATTGTTCAGTGAAAGCTTCTCAGCACGCTACTCCCTCACCTGGGCTTGTGTTGTGAAGGTTGCCTGCAGGTCATCTAGGGTGCTCAGTGTTCTATGGCTGACCTTTTACCCTCAGACTATGCAAAAACACCCAAGGACGGTCACATGGCCTGTAGGTGTTTTTTCTTTTCTTCCTCCTAGACTTAATTTTCCTAAATTGCACTCCGGTGTCACGCTGTTAGTCTGCATGAGGAACATTATATGCAGGAAATGTTCTTATCACATTCTCTTATATTAGCACATACGTGAGAAGTTCCCAGCAGGCCTCCACACCAGAAGCTGTGTGCTTCTTAGCAATTGGTTTGCTTTGATTTAATGGAAAACACCAATCCCAGGAGAGATTATATTTCCCTCCTCCTTGACTGTTGAGAACCTCAGGGCAAATGTCTGGCTGTGTCCAGGGAGTGTGGTCTGACATGTATTTCTGCCTCTGGGTCTGACTTCATCATTTTTTAAAACGTTGTTCTTTTACCCTGAGTTCTCTTGCTATCCCAAAACACAGAAATCATAGCCGTGCATGTGTCCCCAGTCCCCAGTCTTCTGTGGGGTGGGATGTGTAAATTAATGAAAGTTTGGCTGGGTGGAAACACAGCTCTCTGGAAGTTGCCTAGGACCTGTGCGTGGAGGGGATGGGGGGTTGTTAATTAGTCAAAGCTAATCTCCAGGGGATCTGAGATAGGAGGGGCTGAATCCTGCCTGCCACCAGTGCCAGCGCCCCCTGGTGGTGGGACTAGCAGCTGTCACCACCCTGAGGCACTAATAATACCTTCGGTGCTGGCAGGATTACACCCCCTGGAAGAGAAACCCACAGGTTTCTCAGGCCCTTCCAGTAGCAATCTGTACTGTCTCATGAGTGGAGACAGGCTGGTCTGCTGGCCACTCCACTCTCTGGTTCCTGCCTCTGGGCCTGGCCAGAGACAGAGGACCCCAAAGTCCTGAGGAACAATAGATGCCACTGGGCAAAAGGAGAGCCTTTGGAAAAAGACCTCCTTTGATCCACATTGGATTGTGATGTGGGCGAGAATGAAGCCTCTATTTTATTCAAACGACTAACGTTTGTAGTTTTTGCATGATAGATGGTCGCCTGCCCTGGTTAATCTGGTCTTTTCAGTTTCTCTAAAGGAACAAAGCAAACCAATAAATGTGTCATCACCGACCAGCGCCTCCTCCCCCAGGCAGCGGTGAGATTTCAGGCTCCCGATCACCCCTATGCATCGTTGAGCTCACGATAAATGAACAGTGGGCTGTGAGGGGTTGTGAGGGGTGCAGTGGATACACCCTAGAACTGGGAAGCAGAGGCGAAACTTCAGCCACCACCTGACCTCCTTCCTCGCTGAGTGAGCTGGAGCTTGAGCCTTCCTCTTGCCGGGCCCCAGGTCCCCATCGAATGGACACCCCCAAGTGCTCCCCAGTCTCTGAGCCTCCCTGGAGCTGAAGGACAGGTTGGCGCCTCAGAGAGCACCGTTTTCTAACAAGATGAATGGAGCTGCTTCCCACATCGCCGTCCTGGAAGAGTTATGCTCAGCTTCTGTCTGAGGAGGCCCATTCATCACCTGCCGACGCCACGCGGCTCTTCTGCGCGCCCCGGGGGAAGCGTCTCTCCACAAAAGGCAGCGCCCGCTTGGACGTTATTGTTAAGAGGGACATGAAGATGAATGTGTGTCCGGTAGAAGCGCAGGGCTTTCCTGACTGACGGGCAGAGAGCAATTAGCCCTGGACTTGGACACCATCTTCTCACGCCCACGGAGGGATGACAAAGGCGTATGGCCAATGCCCATCAAATTAGGAGGTCCCCTGACCATTTTCATCTCGGTGTTTAAAAAAAGAAGAAAATAAGGAAAACTGGGTCCCCAGCATGAACTGACTGCTTGCAGCCACGCTCCCTCACTGACACACACACTGCGGTTGGAGAATTCCCGGCTTGGAAGCTCCAGCTCCCTTCCGTGGGAGATGCCATGAAGATGGACCCTCTCAGACTCTTTGTACTTGTAAACGCTCCTGTGAACTTGAGCACCTGGAGGCGCAAGACTGGCGCCTGTCTATGCCCCATTCACTACCCTTGTAGGGACAGGGGAGCTGGCCAGGCCCCAAGTGCTGTTGCCATGGTTATACTTGGAAAAAATTCCCCAAGCAGAACCAACTTTCATTTTTATTTCTTCACAAGATTTCAGAGGGAGGCGATGGGGAGAGGAAAGGGGGAGGGTCCAGGTTGCCCCCAACTCCAGACACTACCAGCAGGACCTACTCGAATAGGTGATGGAAAGCAAGAGGCCGGTGATCCAATCCATCACTGAGTACTTCGTCGCAGAGACAACCTATGCCAGCCACCCATCCCCCTTCCCCTTTCTTCTCAGCACTAGAACCCCGAGGTCAGCTGGGCACATGGCCGCCTAGAGTAAGTACTCATGACACATCCGAATTATTCCTGTAGCTGTACGTGGCCATGGGCCCAGCTTTTGGTTGATGGAAGAGGTGGAAAGTCAACTCGCAATTTCCAGGGAAGAGAAAATGTTGCTTGCTGTTTCTGCCTTCTTTTCCTCCCCTCTGTCTCTCCTGCTGTCCGGGTCACAGGTATCACTACTTTAGGCGATGGGACAAAATCCCATCTGAGGACACTGGAAGGGAGGGACGGGGACAGGAGAAGCAGGAGCTGTGAGGACCTCGAGGAGCGGAACCACCCCAGACCTGGACTGCTTACCTCTAGACCTGACTCACATAAGAAAACAATAAATACCCATCATGTTGAAGTCTCATGGTTTCCTGTTTTTTAAACATATTTATTTTATTGATTTTTTTACAGAGAGGAAGGGAGAGAGATAGAGAGTTAGAAACATCAATGAGAGAGAAACATCGATCAGCTGCCTCCTGCACACCCTCTACTGGGGATGTGGCCGCCACCAAGGTACATGCCCTTGACTGGAATCGAATCTGGGACCCTCCTGTCCACAGGCTGACGCTCTATCCACTGAGCCAAACCAGTCAGGGCTCATGGTTTCCTTTTTAAAGCATCACTCAGCCTTTCATGTTGTACCAACTCTGCAGTTCACCAGTAACGTAGCAGGGCCTCTGATCACAGGCACGAGCAGGGCAGCTGAGTGAGAAGCTCCTGGTTCCGATCCTGGCCGTGGCCCTTTGTGGCTGTGAGAGCTTGGGCATGTGTATGAGCCTCAGTCAACTGATACTAACTTGTAGAATGGGAATCATAGTCTCGACCCCCAACAGCTGTGGGGAAGTTTAGAAATGGACCTCCCTGGCTCAGTGCCTTTCTAAGGAACGGCTGTGTTCTGTGTTCCACGTCTGTCCAAGGTCACGTTCATGACCAAATCTTTTTCACTTAACCCAGATCCTTACCACTCTCAGCTCTCAGATCTGTGGTAGGAAACTATCTGTGATTTAATGCTCCTTTTAAAACAAAACACGCCTTTTTCAACATTCAACTTCGTTACCACACACCTGTTGCTTCCTCACATGGGCTCTTCCAGCTGGGGGTCCCCTTCCAGCTGTGCGGCTCGGAGAGTCGGGGACTGTCACCATCTTGTTGACCCTCTCATTTTAAAGATGAAAAGAACTGAGGCCAAATGTACGATGATGGGTCGGGGCTCTCCTCTCCAGATTTCTGGGTTCTCCTCTCTCACTCTCCTGGGCTCTGTTTCCCTAACCCGTGCACTGAGCATAATAGAATCCCCTCCCTACAGCTGACTGACACCTGTGCATCAAACGTGCCCACACTAGGGACCTGACTCCACAGATGTTAGCTTCTTTCCATTTCCTCTCACTTTCAGATCCTAGGACCTGCTGATGTCCTGAGAGAACCAGCACTCAAATTCCGGGCTCCAGACTCACACAGCCTTGGGTTCTTCCCT